TGCGACCCAATCTTTATTTTTTATATATTTTTTTAGATAAGGTATACTTTTTCAATATATATTTTTATGGTGGTGTGGTGGAGAGGTGGAGCCAAATGAACAGAGGTACATGTTCCCTGACCTCTGCTGGATGGATGGAAACTGCAGGAGCAAACCTCAGTTAAGAGCATTGCACCAGAGGCCGCCCTGCAACCAGAGTCTTGTGACCGTCAGCTGAGCAGTGTCGGGGTAAGTGAACTGCGCCGCCCGTTTGGCTGCAAACAGAGATCTCCGGGTGGGCGCCGTGTTTGTGGGCAGACGGGTGACAGACAGGAGACTCTCTGGGGTTACAGGGAGTGTTGTGTTGCCGGCGCTCAGTAAGGTTGGCAGTGCTGGGGGGGGCGGGCAGTCAGGGGGAGCAGTCTGCAGTCAGGGGGAGCTGTCTGCAGTCGGGGGGGGGGCAGTCAGGGGGAGCTGTCTGCAGTCAGGGGGGGGGGCAGTCAGGGGGAGCTGTCTGCAGTCAGGGGGGGGGGCAGTCAGGGGGGTGGGAGGGGGCAGTCAGGGGGAGCTGTCTGCAGTCAGGGGGGGGCAGTCAAGGGGGGTGGGGGGGGCAGTCGGGGAGCTGTCTGCAGTCGGGGGGGTGGGGGGGGGCAGTCAGGGGGAGCTGTCTGCAGTCAGGGGGGCAGTCTGCAGTCGGGGGGGCAGTCAGGGGGGGCTGTCTGTAGTCGGGGGGGGCAGTCAGGGCGAGCTGTCTGCAGTCGGGGGGGGGCAGTCAGGGTGAGCTGTCTGCAGTCGGGGGGGGGCAGTCAGGGGGGCTGTCTGCAGTCGGGGGGGCAGTCAGGGGGGGCTGTCTGCAGTCGGGGGGTGGGGGGGCAGTCAGGGGGAGCTGTCTGTAGTCGGGGGGGGGGGCTGTCTGCAGTCAGGGTTCAGTCCCTCTGCTCTCACTTCCAACTGGACACAACCCGATCAGTTTACAGTGTGAGGCTGTCATTCAATCCTGTATTGAAGCCTCCCACCCCCCGTCTCAGATTTACTGCTTTTTGTTTTGAGCTGATAATAATACTACACTGATCTTTCACCCTCAACGTTTAAATACATTTTTCAGTTGTTTATTTGTAACGTGGGGAGGGGGGGGGAGAACCTCCAGTTTTCCTGAAGCAGTTGCCTCCCTCTGGGGTTGCAGGTCCAGGGCCATCTGAGTGAGTGGCTGTGGTCTGAGCACAGACCCAGAGGGACAGCTGTGGGGACACTCTGACCACCTCTAGTACAGAGGTTTGTTTCCCAGTGTCCACACACACACAGCCTTTCTTGTATTACACCCAGAACGCAGTGAGGAGCAGGAATCTGTACCCAAGTGTTTTTGCCTCTCCAGCGCAGGGATGTTGAAGTCATTTGTACCAGTCAGCTTTGCCCAGAAAGGGATCATGACACTCAGCCGACTTAGGGTTAGACCCTGGGTCATTCAGTGACCCGGCTTGTTCTGGTGCCTCGTTCACTGACTGGCAATAGAGGAGCTTATGTTGTGATAAGTAACCATATAATAATAATAATATCACCTACAACTGGTGACTATCCTCCCGTGGTCATGTTGGGAGGGGGTGAGAGTGTTGTAAACAGGGTCTCTTTGGGGCTGAGCTGCCTCCAAAGTGACCTGATTGACCACAGAATGTCAGCATTGAGTTAACCCTCTGTAGCTGTCTCAGTTGGACCGCAGTTAGAGGCACAAACAGGCGATATAAATTTGAGTTCCTGTTTTACATCAGTCTGCTACTGAAGGAGGTGTCACTTTATTTCATGCAGTTCTTCTTTCCCCTCTCCACCTCTACAGTTCCCACCCCTGCTCAAATGCTCATCCAGCAGTGTCAAGCGCTTTGAATGTCCCCCAGTGTGAACGGCAATATGTAAATTTTAATGCCCAGACAACCACAAGTTGTTTTATGAGCCTTTTTTTGTAGCCTTGCCGGTATCCTCCACATTAGACCTTGGCCTTTCACTTAGATTTCTCAAATCAAAAATACTCTTATCAGGAACTACAGTCTGCTTGGAGTAACAGAGTGATTAGTGCACATATCTCACAAGCAAGAGGACCTGGATTCAATTCCCGGACGGGCAAAACAGTCTGTAAATTTCCTTACTCCACACGCCTTTATTTACCTAGCGGTAAGTAGGAACTGGATTGTTTGGCAATTCCAAGGGTAATAATTTCTCTCCTCCCCCATCCACCACAAAAAAANTTTGGTCACTCAATCCATGACTGTTTGTGGGACTCTGCCGTGCACAATTGGCTGCTGTGTTTCTTCCACATAATTCACATTTAATCCACTTTACAGTATATCCTGTGAAGCGCTTTGAGATGTCTCAGCGACATGATAAAGCACTATATCAACTGCAAGGATTATTATTATCTGGCCTGTGTCAGTATCTTATGTATTCCTAATAATAATCCTTGCATTTGATATAGCACCTTATCACACCTTCAAGGCATCTCAAAGCGCTTTCAGGATATATTGTAAAGTGAATTGACTGTATATTTTGTGAGAAACACAGTAGCCAATTATGCATGGCAGTGTAATACCCTTTATCATACACAAAAAAACCAATCGTTCCTGAAATTGCCAACCTAAATATCCATTTAAATTGTTTTATACAGTATTTTGCAGTTACAGGGAAAATATTTGTTGTCCTTCCTGCAAATGTATAAAATGTAAAAGGGTGCAAGTGGCATGCAAAATAAATTGAAAATCTGATATGCGAGAGTTGCAAAAGGTTTTGTAAATAGCAGATCCTACAGGTGCCCAGATGTGAAGTGAGGAGTTTGACCTTAGTCAGTTCAGAAAGATTAAATCGGGGTCAGAGATTCCCACAGCCACTAAATCACAAAGTCTTTATTTAGACTTGCTTTTTGCATAAGACTCCAGCAAGTTGGTTTTGATGTTGGCAAACCAACAATTGCTGTTTTGAGTCAGAATTGCCAGATGAATAAAACACAGGAAAGTTTACTGCCTGTTTAAGTATGGTATGCAAAGTTTCATTGATAAGTTTGCTTAGCATCAAATTTGGGAACCTGCCATTAGAGTGGTAAAGATGTGAAATGGTATTTAAATACAGAAGTTGACTGCATTTTTATTGCGTAATTTTAGATTGGAAGTTTTTTTTACAAAAAAAAAATTAAATAATTGTTAAGAGTTGTGCTGTGGTCTTGTTTGAGGCCCAAACAAAGACAGTGTATTGAACTTAGCAATTAGGAAACAAGACACTATCTGCACAGTGAGAGCAAATTTCAAGTGCTGTTTACCTAATGCCTGTACTGTACTAGCAGAACTATAAAGGATAATATTCTGCTTTAATTTCACAGAGAAGGTTGCTGCAGTTATGACTGGTAGCTATTTCTGGTTTAATACTGCAGCACCAGTGCATTTAATAATAATAAATAATAATCCTTGCATTTGGTATAGCGCCTTATCACATGTGCGAAACGTCTCAAAGTGCTTCACAGAATATACTGGAAAGTGAATCTAAAAGAAACACACAGTCAAGTGACCATGACTTAGATTGTGGGTTAACGACCCTTCTTCAGAACTGGTCATAATTCAGTTCTGACAAATCCGATATAATTCAAATTCACTTTACAGTATATTCTATACAGTATATGACCTACTTTCCTTTCTACATAAATGCTGCCTGACCTGCTGAGTGTTCCCAGCAATCTCTGTTTTTGCTTCAGATTTCTAGGATTTGCAATATTTTGCATTTTATGATTTAGATTGTGTTCTTGTTGTTGGGTCTGGGGTAGAATCAAAACTAACTTGCAAAATGCTCAATTCATTGAAAGGAGCTACAATGTATCACTCAGTTGTCATCCTGGTTCCATTGGTGGCATCTTGCATCTGAGTCAGAAGGTTGAGGGTTCGGGCTTTGAGCTGCCAAATCTAGGATGGCCCGCCATGCAATGCTGGGAGAAGTATTGCATTGTCAGAGGTGTCATCCCGGTTTGACTTTAATGATCCCATGGCACTATATGAAAAGAGAATGGAGTTTCCCCTAGTGTTCTGGCCAAAAATCTCCCAAATAAAATTGGTCATTGACATCAGGGCTGTTGGGACATTGCTGCCACATTTACCTGCCTTTTCCCCCTTATACTGTTTTTATGTGATAATTATTGCCAATTACTATGACAAGGAATGAATAGTTTCTTTCTCAGCAGATTAAGAATGGATTTTTTTGTGGTCAGCTGGGTGTTTGACATGCAGAAGCTCATTGCATGTTTAAGATTATACAAACCAGATTGACAGTCCCACCTGTGGACATTTTCCCGGGTCTGGAATGGAATTTGCGCTCTCTCCCTGATGGTATTCAAGGCAGCTTGGCAAGAACCAAGGCTTTATATCTCTGGAGTTGAGGTACTGCTGGCGTTTAACCAGCGAAAACCATATCGCTTGCCATTAAGAGAGAACGGAATGATCGCTGTGTTTGTTTCAAATTTGTGAGTGATTTTTATTTCTTGAATCCTAACCACTTGATTTTGTTTTTAACATCAATATTTTGGGCTTCTGTAGAGCAAAGAGGCATAAAATCACAACTTCTCTCCTGCTTTCCCACCCCTGTGAGGCCATAAGACACTTCTGATCAGGTTAATTGACAATTGGGCTGCTGGGATTATTTTGTTTTCACCCGAGTTTTGAGGAATTCATCTTGCATCAGCATAGTGCTTTTGGTAGCAGTGGAACTAAGAGCTTGATGAATTCTCAGACAGTAATTAATAATTAATAAGCACTAGGAAATGGTCTGGGCACAGGAAAAGGCCCTGTATGTATTCATCTGCAAAGACATAATTGCCACTAAATGCGAACCACTTTGTTCATCATTCCTAAATTTGGCTTTTAAATGAAATGCTTTATTATGGTATCAGATAGCTTAAATGACTGTATGATCTCATTTAAAAGATTATAAGGCGTATTTAACACAGATATATGCAGTTTCTTTTTAAAGTTGTAATGATTTTTTTTCTGTTTGGCTTACAGGATGTGGCGCACAGGACTGTTCCTCATTGCCCTTGTTTGTATGCAGCCATGTTGCATATCTGGAAAGTTCAGTTTTCTCCGCCGCATGTTTAGAGGCGTCAAGGGTTTTGTTACATCACATGTAGACCCTGGGAAACCCCTCATGCTCACTCCTTACCTGGAGGCTGGCGAAATTGAAAAAGGTAAGAATGAACCAATAAGTCATAAAGCTTGTACGTGTTCTGCTCTCTCTTTACCATTCACTGAACTTTCAACTTGTGCCATTTATGCAGTGCCTTTCATGTCAGAGGAGGTCCCAAGGTGCTGTACAGTTGAGGGTTTTTCACTTGAGCTAGGGACTGGCATCGGGCGATCAGGAGGAGGGTGGGGGTGAGAGGATGGTCTTGAGTCAGACATTGAAGGAGGCAAGGGAAGCATGTGGTGAAGAGACTCTGAGATGGAGTTCCACAGAGTGGTGGCAAAAAGACTGAAGGCCCAACTGTTGATGGTGGGGTGGGTAGGCAGGGGACGTGAAGTAGGTCAGTGCTTGCTGAGCGGGCAGGTTAAGTGGGATTTCGTAATCCTTGCAAACCTACGCTATGCTTGTAGGACAATGCTTAGCATAGAATGGACTCTTTGTCATAATTCTCTGCCTACCAATGCCACTAAGTGCTTCCAATTCTCAACGACTTCATTTTACCGAGTAATCTCTTGTACGTTGTTTTAGGAACCCCCTTCTGAAAATTCATAATGCCTTCTGAAAATCCATGTGGATGTCTTTCATGGATCTTTCCTCCCTCTATCACCTCAGTATTTCTGTCATAGAATTCTATCAAATTCATTAGATGTGACCTATCCTTCACAAAACTCGTTACACTTCTTAAAGTGTGGGGTCACTCAGTCATTTCCAATGATACATTTGTTCTAGTATTGATGAAAACTTAATTGGCTTGTGGTCAGCTGGACTGTATCTTTGCCTATTGCTCATTTTTCTTGATGAAAAAAATGCGCATTTTCTTTTTTCATTTGTATGATCTGCTTTTTTTTGTTTTGTACTTTCTCTTTCATCTTTTTAATTTGCTTAACTTCATTTTGTTGCCTTCCTCCCAATGCTCAGCCTTGCCACTTTCTTTCAACTTTTTATGCATCTTTTCCTTTTTGTTTGTATGTCAGGATGGCTCAGGTTGGTAGCACTTTTGACCCTGAGTCAGAAGATTGGGGTTCAAGCTCCATATTGGGATTTGAACTCACATAGTCTCAGCTAACGCTCCACTGCAGTGCTATCCTTTTGAATGAGATGTTAATTAACCGAGATCCTGTTTACCTGTTCAGGTGGATGTTAAAGATTCCATGGCATATTACTTGAAAAGGTCACTGGCCTGCTCCATGTGACTTGTCCTGCCTGCCCTACCTTCAGCAGTTGGGCCTTCAAACTTTGTGCCCCATTCTTCTGGAACTCTATCCTGGAGTCCCTTAACTGTGCCTTTGATAATCCTCCCACCTCCAGCCCCCTTGCCTTCTATCCCTCTCGATTCCAATTCTCAGCTTGGGTGCAAACCGTTGACTCTCCAGCACCTTGGGAATGTCCCACCAAGATGAAAAGTGCAATTTGAAGTTTATCCCAGTGTCCTGGCCAACAATCCCCAAATAAAATTAGTCATTTGTTTCATGACTGTTTGTGGGACATTGCTGCGTTCAATTGGATTGCCGCATTCGCCTACAAATACGAAGCCACTCCACAGTAAATCCTGTGAAGAGCTTGGAGACAAATATTATTATTTGTACAAGTCCTAACCATTTTGTCCATCGTGATTGTTTCACCAAGAAATTCTATTCTTGCATTTGTAGATGGGTGTAACCTGTTTGTCATGCCCTGTGTGGAGTTTATAGATGAAGTGTAGAGGGAGGGATAGGCCAGCTTGTAAGAATGTGAGAAAAATACACCATTACCAAAATCTGTGGTACAGCTGTTTAGAAAGAGCACTTGGATTAGAGTTAGTGATGTTGAATGATTTTCAGTCCCTTTGTTCTTTTAAGAAAATCTCCATTGTTTTAGTGAGATTGAGTGGTGTGTAAATTATATGCCGCTTCTGGGAATCAGTTCCTGACTGAAAGAGGAAATTAGATTTATTGTGTTGCAATAGCTAAAGTCAGCTCTTTTGGGGTAATGGTTGTGTAATCGTACTGTGCTATTTTAAACAATGGTAAAAGTGTGGTTTTATGGAAAATTTTGCCATACTGGCAATCCATTCACGTGATTTAATCTACACAAAACTAGCATACATTTAGGGATATTTATAAATTCCTGGGCATTTTGAAATCACAGATGCGAATTGCACAGTTTAATCAATTTAGTCTGAAAAAATACCCTTTAAACCCAGTTGTATGACATTATTAATTCTGTTCATTTTTTTCCAGCTCGTGAATTGAGTTTAGTTGGCCCTCTGGAAGGTCCAGTTGTGAAAAGCTACTCAGGTTATTTGACCGTGAATAAAACATGCAACAGTAACCTTTTCTTCTGGTTCTTCCCTGCACAGGTAACTAAATGTTCAAAACGCAATTTACCATTTTTTCAAATTAAAACCTATTTCAAACTGCTTGAATAATCATCAGTTTATGCTGGTGGAAGCAATGTGACATTGGGAAGGTTTTTACAATGTTGTAAATAGCAGCACAGTGGGTAGATGACAACAATTCACCCCAAAGGCAATCAACAGATGGAACAGGTTATCAGCAATGATGGTAGAGGGCAGAACACAGGAGAAAATTAAATACTGATTTGATGCTCTGATAGGTAAATGGGAAATGGCATTAAATAGGTAGAAGGAACTTGTGTCTTCATCCAAACATCTTATGATCTCAAGCTGTAGCTCCAGTTTTATTAAAGGCAATTTGGAAGACATTACTTCATTCCTTTAAACGTTCAATAATGTTCTCAGGAATTAAAAATACTGGATAATGAGTTAATTTAATCTAATAAATTGGTTGTGTGATCAATGGATTGAATGGTCTACTGATGGTCCCATAAAGAGAAGCTTTGTGCATGAACAGAAATCAACTAACCAGCTCTTGAACTTCTTTTTAAACATGACAAAAAGGCACTCTGAATGTTAAAGCCTTGTACTAAACAACTACAGGGTAACCCTGTTATAAGGTGCCTCTGTTTAGCGTTGGGCCACTGTACTGTAGACCCCAGCTATACTAGAATTCTGGTACACTCAGTATCTGGTTCTCTTATTCTGTATTTGTAGGACTTGCAAGGCATTGGAGTGCAATTGTTAGTTTTGTTGCCTCTTAGTCAGAAGGTTGGGGTTTCAAATCTCTTGTCACTTTGAGTTTACAGTACGTCCAACACTCCAATTAATTATTGCATTGTCAGGTGTGGTCCTTTGGATGTGAAGTTAAACCGAGGTCCTGCCTGTTCAGGTAACTGTTAAAGATTCCATGAAACTGTGTTAAAAGAGGAGGGAGTTTGTCCCTGTGTCCTCGCCAACAATCATTCAGACACTTCATGGCTGTTTGTGGCACATTGTTGTATACAAATTGTCTTTTGCATTGGTCTACAAAATACACAGTCACTACACTTCACAGTAAATCCTATGAAGTAGTTTGAGACATTTTGAAGTGATAGGATGCTGGATCAAACACAGGATTATTTTTTGTATTATTATAATAATGTTTTATCTCAATGCAGAATTATTTTTCTTACTTTTGCTCTAGTTGCCTCCAGGTGGCAGTATTACACTGATTGCCACCTACAATGTTTGGTCTTTATTCTCAACCATGTTATTGCAATGTTCACTGCAACTTGGGGACACATCAAATTTTGAACAGTTGTGCAGTAGGCTTGTTGCAAACAAAATTGTCTGTAAAATAATTTGAAGCTGCATTTTCCGGGTTTCAGTGGTGAAGAGTGTTGAAGCATTCACCCTATGTGGAAAAAAAACTATAAACTCAAGTTCTTGTTGAGTTGTTCTTTGTATCGATTGCTTCCTCGGCCTTTCAGATCTCAAATAGTGTTCTTCCAGTCTTGTTTACTTTTTTAATTTTAGAAACAAATTGGGAACAAATATCATACAAAACAGGCTTCCACTTTGCATTTGTTCTCTATTGTGTGTAATTCTGTTGCTGAAAACCCTTTTGGCAAGATGTAAAGCAAAATGGTTCATGTTTTTGTGTGAATGGTTGGGGATTTTGCTGTTTATGAGAGCTGTGGCACACATGCTAAGATAATATTCTTACTGAAACCCAAGAGTATTGTGATGGGTCTGCTCTTCAGATTAAGACCAAGGTTTTGTTAAGTTAGAAAAGTAAATTGGAGCAGTTGTCCTGCCAAAGTCAAATTGTTAGCAGTGGAAGTCCCAATCTTGTGATTTTGCTGATAATTTTCTTTTTAAATGATTATGAAATTTTCTCTAAATTAGGCTTGTACTCAGAAAGGAGTTGAGAGTGGCTAGGGTATGAAGTTAAAACATTTATATTGGTGCTAGAGGGGTGTTCTGGGTGGCATTAAAGCACATGGGAGTGAAGGAGGTTTTTTAATGGTTCTGGCTATGTCGTAACTGTGCCTAGTACTGCCTGTTGCTGATTGATCAAAAGGTATTTGAATTCCCAGGGCTGATATCCCTCAACTCTTTGAGCCCAACAGTTCACTGAAAGGTACATGTATTTTTTTGTATAAATATAAATATACGCATGTATATTTTAGAAGTACTGACCTTATCTAAATGCTTTTCTGTTCATGCAATTAAAGTGATCTCTTTGCGTTTTGACACTAGTAGTTTTTTACTGGATCAGAGTTTTACTGGATCAGGAACAATGGTAAAAATGACTTATGCGATGATCCCTATCTTGACCTTGTTGCTTAGGCAGCATTTTTTAAAGGTTCCTTACTTTGGAGTAGTTTTCCTGGAATGTATAGTCAACAATATAACCTGCTTTCAACCTTTTTTTTTCCTACATATGTTCTTGCCTGTTTATTTGGTTTACAAAATAAATGTCATGGATGAAATTTACAATGTTCTTTATCTAGGAGATTTAATATGTTTTTCTTGCTTGTTTCTAGAACTTCTCTTGTTACTTTAATGTTTATATTCATAATTTACTGTTAAGTTATGACACCATTATCAAACTATCAGGAAAGACTGGACAGTTTAGGGCTTCTTGCTCTGGAGTTGAGATGCATCCGAAGGGAACAGATAGAGTTGTTTAAAATTATGAAATGGTTTGGTTAGAATAATTGACACAGTTTTCTTCTATTGGCAAGTCCATAGCACAGGGGCTTAAATACAAGGTAGCCAGTAACAGATCGAAAAGAGTTTAGGGGGAACCTCTACACATTAGGTGCAGTTGAAGCAAAAAGCATCAATGCATTTAAGAGGAACCTCAATGCATATACAGTATATGAGAGAGAAGTGAATAGGTGGGTATTGGGGGAAGGCTAGGGAGGGAGGGTGCATTAAAATGGGTGAAGGTTCTTATGGAGTATAAACACCACATGTACTAGTTGAGCTGGCTGGGCTATTTTAGTGCTGTAGATCTATGTAACGCATATTCTTTTTACAGACTCAGCCAGAGACAGCCCCTGTGCTGTTATGGCTTCAGGGTGGCCCTGGAGGGACATCGATGTTTGGGCTTTTTGTCGAGCATGGTCCTTATGTTGTTGCTGAAAACCTTACACGTAAGTCTGACTTTGATCTTAATAAACCAGCTGTTTTTATCTGGATATCCCAAATCCATGTTAAATGTTTAACTTTTTTTTAAATCAATGTTTTGAAAAAGCCTATTTGTAATAAATCCCCTGGTTGATTTTAAAAAAAGTATTGGATTTATAGTGTATTGGATTATTTTGTTTAACTGAAATGTTTACAGCTCACAAACTGATGCTGAATTTTTTTTAAAACAAAGTTCATCTTGCGGTCATTAATTAAGAGACCAACCAGAATCATGCGTTGTTTTTACAAAAGATCTGTTTGGCTGGTCCTTTTTGCCCCTCTTTCCCCCCCCGCTCCAAAAAAAATGCCATAGTTGAATCTGGAAACAATTGCCATTTGCTTTGGAATAATGGGGGATACATGGAGAATTATCCACTCCTGTTCCACTGTCACCACGGCTGTGAAAATGATGACATTGAGGCTGACCCCAAAATAAATGTTGCAACATATTTTGTTGTGTGAGATAACGCCAATTGCTGTTTATTTGCTGTTTGCTTTCTTCTTTGTCCGTGAACATCTTCATACAAAAGACATTGTGCGTCCCTTAACCCTGTCGTGCCACAGTCAGTGCCCGTGCCTTCAGGCGCTACACCACTAACCTCTCAAACAATCTGCCTCAATCCCCCCACCTCACCCTCCTCTTTATCTACCTATAAATCCTACCGCTTCAACTGCGCCAATGGTCACATTTCCCTCCCCTTTCTCCTTTGTTTGGTATCCAACCCCACCACTGCAATGGCTCCTGATTCTATTCTGTGTGAAAGGCGCTATATAAATGCAAGTAGTTGAATCCTGCTTCCTTGCTTGTCTGAGTCACATACAGAATTCATGAAACAGTTTACCACTGATGTGGTTCATTCAGGAGTAACTAGCAGGTAGTTACATCATGATAAGATGTCCTTTAGAAAGCACTTGACTCACTTCATCATGTAAACTACCAGTGGAAAAATTCTTACATTCTAACTGATCTCAGCATCTCGTATCATCATAAACTACTTGTCTGTGCTCGCAGCCATACACTAAGTGCACTACCTACATATCTAAATGATTGGTTTGTTAGAGCTGGGGGGGTCCAGCAGTTTTTTTTCTGTGTGGGGGGGGCGCGGTTGTCTGACAAATGCAGAAACCCATCACCATGCTTAAGAGTATCCACAACAAACAGAGTTCCATGTATCCCATCTACACATTCCTGCATTTTGGAATAGAATGTGCACTCTTTCCCTGGAGGGACACATTCCAATTATCTAATTCCTGATAGTATTAAGCGCAGATTGGCAAGACCCAAGGCTTGGGGATCTCAGAGTGTGTGATGGGGTACTGCTGAGTTTAACCAGCTAAAACAGCATAGTTTGCCATTGAGAGCACTGTTACTGTCTGGCAAGCTTTCCTGTTGCTTGTCCAGCTAGGACCCCCCTTTCCTTTAGGACTTTGCTTGAAGGTTCACAGGAGCTTTGTCTGAAGAATTCCTGCCCCCAGTGACTGATCTGTCCAGTAGGTTTCAATATTCAGGAGACCTAGAACCAGTGCAGGATCCACCCTTCACAGGTGCTTGTTTCGGACTGTTTTCAACCCATTCCCAATCAAATTTGGTCATGCTGATCACCTTTTACCTGGAGTATAGAATTCATCTTAAGAAGAACCTGAGCTGTTGGCAGCTGCCATCTTTGGGTTCTTTTAAGATTCTATCGCAAGATATTATATTTGACCTTCTTGCAAAACAATCCTTAAGATGAATTTTATTGTTACAATCAACCAAGACAAGTCTGTTAATACCATTAAAACAATGGTCTTGAGACCAGTCTGCTTACATGTTTGGTCTTCATGCCATGTACTCTCATAGATTTCGGTGAACTATGTAAGTCCAGTCAGGAAGCCCCAAGGGGTTGAAGCACCAGGCACTACTGGGCACATACATAGCTTGCACATGTATATGATGCCTCTCATATAAAAGAATATTTTGAAACACTTGAGAAATACAGTGATGGACACTGAGCAGGAAAACAGGTTCAAACATGATAATATCAATCCCCAATCCTTGCATTTAATATAGCATCTTTCACGTCAGAAGGATGATTCCATGTACTTCACTGGATTTATTATCAAGTGGAGTGACTGTTTTTTAGGACTAACACAGCAGCCAATTTGTGCAGAGTAAAGAACCACAAAGTGAATGACAAAGATGTTGATCAAAGAGATATGTTAGGAGTGCTTTTTTGAAAGAGGGGAGATTACATTCAGAGAATGAAGGAACAGGCTTGTCAAAGGTAATCTCCCTTTTATAACTTTCTGTTTTTCTATTCGACATGGCTGGATGAGTACAACAAAAATAAATTGATTGCTGCTCCTAAGAAGCTAGCATCAGAAGAATGCAATCTTCTATGGTTTAAATTCAGATGTTTTTACTAGTTTAATTTAACATGTGTTTTTTTTTAAATGCTTGAATCTAGTGGAGGCAAGGAAGGTATCATGGACATCAAAATACTCCATGTTGTATATTGATAACCCAGTAAGTTTTCTCATTTATTGTTCTGTGGTATTGTTTGTATTTCCATCAGCCACATGGATTGGCTGTGACTGTTGTCTGTTACCGTGTGGACTGTCTAGAATCGCTATCAATAAAACACGTTAAAAAGAATTGTGTGATCTTTTTTAAAAAAGAAAATTCTAGAGCTGGCTAGTTGAAATTCCTAGATTTGTGGTTCTGAGGTTCCAGAAGTATTAGAGGAATATAAATACAAAATTTGAATTTCTCTTATTCAGAACTTTTAGTATGCAAGTCAATAACATTTATTTCATGCCAGTTTATAGATGACACTGCTGGATTTGCAGATAATACAAACATGGGTATGAACGCATCTGATGCAAATAATGCATGGAAATAGAGAGCAGAATTGTTTTTATGCAGAGGGTTATTAGAAAATGCAATGCTTTGCCACAAGCGTCTATTGAAGCTAAGACTATAACTTTTAAAAGGGAACTGGATAAATGTTTGAAGCAAGACAATAAGGAGGGTTATGCGGAACATGCAGGTCATTAGGATTAGGATGCTTCGCTCCAATAGACGAACAGGCACCAAATGGCTTCCTATGTTGTCAAATCTATGATTCTAGATTTTATATTGCATTTTAAAATCAGATGGCTCAATCTGCTGCATTGAAGAGGGTTGCTACTGAACTCCTAAATTTATACACAGATTATGCATAATATATGAAAACCATATTGTCATCCCCAACTGTAAGACTAAAGTACCCACTGTGACGTGACTCCACTGCCACAATATCGAGGGTAACAGACAACAATCACAGCCTGACCACGTGGTTGAGCGTGAAAGTAACCTTTGGTGGCCTTTAAAAGAGACTCTGTAATCGGTGGATATAAATTTTCTATGATTGTTGTGAGTCAGTTGCAATGCGGATACTGAAAGTTGACTCTGAAAATCAGTGTAAAAATTATTGTGTATAATGCATCCCAATATATAATTTGGTGAAGATCTCTAACTATATTATGCGAGTGTGACTTGCTTCATTGAGGGTGAACAAGGCTAATCGTTAATGCACAACTCTAATCTGTAGATACAATTTCAGTCTTTGGTTGTGAGTGTGTGCATGTGTGCATAAATGATTATGGGCTGCATGTAGCACAAAAAGGTTCAGACTGAAAGTAACTGAGTGAAGTAGAATAGTAAGAGAGGTGCATTTATGTTGGCGATATCAGTTTGGTTTGACTAATCTCTCATTGTTCCCGAAACTAGGTGGGCACTGGATTCAGCTTCACTGACAAAAAGGAATGCTATGCACAAAATGAAGATGATGTAGGGAGGGATCTGTACAGGTTAAGCTTCTTTATTTCTTGTCACTTTCTTTGCAATACAAAATCATTTAAAACTTTTGTTTTTAGAATTTGATCAGTCGATTCACCTTTTCAAATACCTCAACTGTATGATGAGAAAACTGAACAGTCATTTTAATTTCCCTGCAGAAGCCATTATGGAGAGCATATTCCCCTATACAAATAACAGTCAATTGCTATGTTTGAATGGGATATGCTCCACATACTGTTATTTAGGTTACACCAGGATTATTAATCACTTCAAACTATTTATCTTGATTGCTTTCATTATTCAGTTTTGCTGCTGTTTTTCTTTAGGATTACTTTATTTCCACTGTTTTCAAGAGCAGGACAAACAAGTCATGTAGGAAATTTCTGGGTTTTTTTCCCCCTTGCCCTTATCGAATTCCGCTGCTCACATTTTTAATAATAATCCTGGCATTTGATACAGCGCCTTTCATGTCAAGAGGACATCTCAAAGCGATTCACAGGATTTACCATAAATTGTAGTGACTGTGTATTTTGCAGGCAAAGTTTTAAAATTTGTTGTGTTGCAGAATCAGCATTGGCTAATCTCCTAAATTGTCTTGCATTAAATCAACTTTATTGCATTTCAAAATGCTACCATTCTCCCATACAGCAACAAGAACAACTTGCATTTATGTAGCGCTCTTCATGCATTGTAGCATCTCTGCCTACAGTCCCTCTGACATAAGTTCTCCCTGTCTGCTCTTGTGTTGTACAGATACTGATTTGTAATGCTGGATCGTTCACCAATAATGAACAGGCTGTTCTAATGGCTCCTCCGCATGAAGTAAAACCATGCAATAAGAAAAGCATGTGTTTTTGCTTTTTTTAAAAAATATTCACTCATAATGTATGTGAATGTCTCTTACAAGAGTATTTTTCAAATGACTTTCAGATTCCATATTCCTACCATCTGTATCAGACATGAAGTGTTCTAGCTGGATTGGAGAGCAAAGCCTTCCCTACTCTTTTTTTTCTGCCCTCCACCTCCCAGAACCAAATTCTACATTTTAGACCGGAACTGCTCCTTCAGAATTGACTAAATGGCTATCACAGTTTAAAACTTCTTTAGATGAAGTGCAACATTTAATTTTGATCTCTTGTCTACACAGTGCTCTCATCCAGTTTTTCCAGATATTCCACGAGTATCAGAAGAATGATTTCTACGCTACAGGAGAGGTGAGTGAAATAACTTTCCACCCAAGACCTTATTGTTCTGTCAGTCGGGATTACTTATTGGATACATTATCAAGGTTTGCAAGAAATGCCTAATGATATAAACTTCATCTGTTTACATCTATTACCCTCCGCATTCCCTGCTTTTCCCTACAAAAACAGTCATCATCACCTCTGTCTTCAAAAAAAACCCTCTAGGCCCATCCCTGCTCTCTAATTACCATCCTATCTCCAACCTCCTTTTCCTTTCCAAGTTCCTTGAATGAGTCGTTGCTTCGCTCCTTCCTCTCCCACCACTCCCCGTACGAACTCCTCCAATCGAAACAGCCCTGGTCATAGTGACAAATGTCTCCTCGTCCTCCTTGACCTCTCTGCTGCCTTTGACACTGTTAACCACTTGATTCTCCTCTACCACCTCTCATCATCCTTGACTGGTTCAGATCCTACATTTCACACAGTCTCCACTTTGTCTCCACAAACCTCTCGTGCGGTGTTTCTCAGGGCTCTGTCCTTGGTCCTCTCATGTTCAACATGTGCTTGCTTCCTCTTGGGTCAATTTCCACATGTATGCGGATGACACCCAACTCTATCTCTCTGCCTCCACCCTCGACTCCAGGACCCCTGCTGTCCTGACAGAATGTCTGTCAGACATCATCTCCTGAATGAGAGTTCACTCTCTACAGTTGAACGTCAACAAGATCGAGGTTCTCATGATTGGCTCCTGTCAGCGATTGCTCACCTCATTCGCTGACGGCATCACCAACCAGGGATTCACACTCCACCTAGCTAAGTCAGTCTGCAACCTTGGCATCTTGTTTGACTTTTAAATGTTCTTTCTACCCCATATCCATACCATAACACGCTCTGCCTCCCCCCACCTCTGCAACATCGCCTGGCTCTGCCACTGTCTCTCCCTTCAGGCCGCTGAAACCCATGCATTTATTACATCTAGCCTCTAACTCTTCTCCAGAACTCTGCAGCTCGTGTCCTGTCCCGCACCAGGCTTGTGATCCCATCACCCCTACCCGCACCTGACTCCACTGGCTCCCCATCCCTCAGATGATAGAGTTCAAAATCTTTGTCAACACATTCAAAGTTCTTCATGGCCTTGCTCCTTCCTAGCTCTGATCTGCTAACGCCAGATCAACCTGTCCACTACCTCCGCTCAGCAAGCTCCGGCCTGCTCCATGTTTCCCGCCCGGCCAACCCCACCATCGGCATGGCCTTCAAACTCTCTGCACCCATCTTTTGGAATTTGGAACCCAATCCCATAGTCCTTTTACCTTGCTCTCTCCCTTGCCTCCTTCAAGGCACATCTCAAGACTCTCTTCGACCTCGCGTTTGGTCACCCACCGACCTTCTCTGCCCTCCACCCCTCCTGATCCCAACCTCCCAACACAGGTCCGAATCTCTTTAACTGTCCAGTGTCTTCAGACGTCCTCCCGACGTGAAAGGCACTCTACAAATGTAATGTGGTGGTGGTGATGTTTTCACTCTTTCTTCCTTTTTATATATGTTATGTATTTTATAGCTTATTGGTTATTAAATATTTATTAGTTGTCAAATTGTGTATCTGTAATGTTTCATAGTTATTAAATGTTCTCCCCTATTACATTTGCTTGCAGAGTGAAAGTAGCACTTTTTATAGTGATTTAGTATTGGACCTGAGTTTTAAAAACTATTGGATAATTTTATAGCACTTGCATCTATTTAGGTTCCCATTTGAAAGCTTAATTTTAGTTGGTTGATTCAAAGAATTTGTGGTATTGGTCAGATCACCCAAGTGGGTAGAAACATTTGTGCATGTGTTCAAGCTTATTGTTTTCTATTATTTCTTTTTCATTGTATAAATGTCTTCAGTCTTATGCTGGTAAATATGTGCCTGCAGTTGGGTACTACATCCATACCCACAACCCTGCTGCCAAAGTAAAGATCAACTTCAAGGGAATAGCCATTGGAGATGGACTGTGTGATCCTGAAGTAGTAAGTGTGGTTTTGTTATAAATTAAACAGGATACTTCAGTTGTAATTTAGCTTTATCAAGATAAAAGGAAGTTGGTTCTCAGACAACTTCCTTAAAACTTCAAGACTCTTAATTTTTACCATATGGCAATCCAGTCAGCAACTACTAGATTGCTTTAAATTATACCTTGCTGACTATGCTGATTACAGTCCTTGAGTTTGAAAAACCTCTATTGTACATTTTTTGAAACTGAGTTTTGTACAGTGACACGAGGTTGTTCCTTTGTTGTGTGTCTGTTGCACAGATGTTGGGTGGTTATGCGGAGTTCATGTACCAGATTGGGATTGTGGACAAGAGGCAGAAGGAGTCGGTCCAGCAGCAGTCAGACCTAGGAGTAAGCTACATCAAGCAAAAGAAATGGGTTAAAGCCTTTGAAGTATGTATCAGTGGTTTGGTCTTGGTCTTAAAATTAAAAACATCTGAGGAGTTGAAGGTCAGGGGGAGCACGATGGGAGGTCAAATGTGTGTTGCTAAATGGCATACTGTTTAGTTTAAAAGTAATCAGCTTTCTGACTTTCAAATAATCTCTCTCTTTTCTTCCGCCCCAAACATTTTCAAAAGTGTAATGTGATCTTTGTTTCTCAACAAAAACAATCCTGAGTGATGTATAGAATCCTTGTGCAGTCACTCAAAATGGTCAAGAGATCATTAAATAGTAATGGTCACAATAAGATCTGGATTCTAAGGGGCATTGGCAACACATAACTAAAGAACTGAATTGCAGCCTGTTGTACTTTAAGGAGGCCCCCATTTACTCTGTTGATTGAGTGAAATTTTCTGCTACGAAAACCTTTATTTTCGGAATGTTTCATCTTTAATCCTGGACCACATTGCTAAAGAATAGTTTTCCAATACACGTACAAAAACTTGTAAGTTTGCAATGCTGTTTTATCTTATGGATAGCTAACTCTTTGAATTCAACACATGTTGACTTAAGTATAGGTTACATCCTCTTGTGTAGCAATGATGTTTTTGAATTTCATAATTCCATTCATCTTGAAACATATCCACATTCCAGCTGTTTTTAGTTTAAAAAAAAGAGCATAATAAGGATCTAGTTTCGTAGATGGGTGATATGAGGAGGGGGCAGTGAGAGAGAGAGGAGGGAAAAGAGGGAAGTGGGATAACCCCACTACCTGTGTATGGCAACCATTAACTGTCTGCAGAGCAATTATTTTTGTGTAGTTACTATGCAAGCCTTTGCTGCTTGAAAGCATTCATGCTGTGACGTTTATCAACTAATTATCCTGGTTGGTTAGATGACTTCAACTCTTGCTACGATGTTTCTCGGGAGCAGCTTTCACTAGCTATTTCTCGACCAGCAACCAGCCAAAAGCTGGTTAAAGAAGAACACTACCATAAAATTAGCATTTTACAACAAAGAAAGGGGACGTCTTATCGATTTTACTGAAACTTTGCTCCGAGTCACCTAATCTAATTGTACTCTGTTGCTCGGCTCCCGTGTCCATTAATATTCCATCTTCAAACTCATTCGTGCACGATTGGTGAAAACAATTATTCTTTGTTTCCAAAAAGTCATTTTGTTTTAAAAGTGTAAGTTCTATGTGCTGGTCTCCTCCATTCCCTCCCCAGGGCAGCTGACATTTCAGGTCAGGTGAGGATTGTGAGACATGCTCATCTGATTTCAGTCCAGGGCTCCATCAGCACTCTACCACAGTAGGCATCGACATGCTTTTTATTTCTGCAGGCTGGTTGAGAAATGACAGCCATTCACTAACTAGTACCAGACCAGCTGAGTATATACAGCAGCATTTGCATGTAGTACAATTTGGGGTAACAAAATGTAAGGGTGTAAGCATTCTACTTCGAATATTTGGTCACACATGTAGCTTCGTTAAGTGTTTAGGCACCAATGTCACTACATGTACTTCAGGAACAAGTTACAGTTATAACTACATCACAGAAGTTCAGAGGGACATTGTAAAACTTTTTATAAACAATTGATGAGGATTCCTATTGAGAAAGTATTGCAATCATAGTCAAAGTCTCAACCTTTGCTATTTTAGAAGGTAAATAGCTAATGGATTATTATGTACAGAAAGTGACTTCTTTCAGTGTGCTGTATTTTCTTCAATTGCTGCTTATCTTTCAGGTTTTTGATAATCTGCTGAACGGTGACTTGAGTAAATACCCATCCTTCTACCAAAATGTCACAGGCTGTACCAATTACTACAATTTTCTACAGTGCACGGTAAATGACTGGTTGTGAAACAACCTCTTGTTGTATGTGCTTGGGGAAGCAATACATTTAGTAAGTCTTCTAGGTCTTTCAACTGAAATCACGTAGAAGCCTTAACGCATTGTAGAACAAGAAGAATTGCTTCATTAAAGCACTTCCAAAGTTTGACAATCAGTAATGAGATTTGTGCCCCTGAAAAAATCTTTACTAATCCATTATATACAGTGAGCACATCAGTTAAGTAAAACACGTATCAGTACACGAAAGCCAGTTTATGCTCCCTCCCTCGCTCAACATCCCATCTCAAGATGTATCACTTTGACTGTGCTTTCTGACATCTTACGCCTCACATTTCCCTCAGCTCCTAACCCCAGTTCGGGTGTCCAGCCAGTAGCTCAGGCAATTTGGGATGTCCTCCGACGCGAAAAACACTATTCAAACATAAATTTGTATTATACATCTGTCGTTAATTGCGAGACTTCACTGGAAGTATATTTGGCTCTAGCTCCCATTATTTTATCTTGGGATCTGGGCTCTGCTGTTCTCTGTAATGCACAAAAAGCTCATCTCCAGTGGGTGAAAGATGGAAAGAAAAGAATATTAGCAATTGTAAGATGCAAAGTATATGGAGTAATCTTGTTACATAAATGCAGCAAGCCTGAGTATGGGTAGTGTTCCTGTTTGGAGATCTACAGCAACAACTTGTTACCTCAGGTGAAAGGCACTACAGTACAATACAGCTTGAAAAGGTCTAAAGATAGAACTGAGAATACAAATATTTGTAAATTGTTTCCCTTATGGAAAGGATTTTCTGTTTCAGGAGCAAGAAAAGTCCAAGGACAATTGGTACTTTTCTTGGATTATTACAAAAAGCATGATTACCATCACATTATAATGGCAAGAGTACAGCAAACATAATACCATAAAAATATCAGTGTGAGGAACATCTTTTTTAAAAAAAATTGAAATGGTATTTTGAGGTAATGAGACATCCTGGGTTGAGATAATGGTAAAGTTGAACTTCAGTTTCTGCTTCAGAATGACATCTCAACTTTCAGTATTATACAAAATTACATTTGTATAAGCACTTTTCACGTCGGGAAAGCCACTTCCCAAGCCACTGGACAGTCGGGGATTTTGATCCAACCTGGGGGTTGTGATAAGGGAGGTTAGAGGGCAGGGAGGGCGGCTGAAGGCTGGGTCGAAGAGGAGGTTATCGAGACGCGCCTTGGAGGAGGCAAAGGGAATGTAGGATGGAGTTCCAAAGGGTGCGGGCAGAAAGGCTGAAGGCCTGGCTGCCGATGATGGGACAGGCCAGGCGGGGGATGTGGAGCAAGCCAGAGCCTGCTGAGCAGAGGGAGCAGACAAGTTGATGTAGGGTCAGCAGGTCACAGAGGTAGGGAGGGGCAAGGCCTTGAAGGGGCATGAAGGCGAGGACGAGGATTTTGAACTCTACCCTCTGGGAGGTGGTAGCCAGTGGAGACGAATGGGGGTGATGGGGTTATGGAGACTTTTAACACAACATACTCAGGACTACATGTCTTTGCTATTGAATTACCTGCTGCAGTCGAAGCCCAAAATGTAACCTGAAGCAGTCATAACTCATGAAGTGGCTACCTCCCTCGCAGAGAAGGTGGACGAATAATTGAACCCGTCATACCCACATATACACACTTTGCTATTCTACTGGGAGAGAGTTTGCTAAGGACTGATCATGGGAGCTATTTGGAACAGTTCTATTGTATGCTACTTTAAATTTTTGTTTGAAATGTCTGGTCATCATGTCTTAGACAGACTCCAGTTCAATCTGTGCTGGAGAAGTGATTTAATTACATCGCATAAGTCAGTTACTGACATATCCTTTTAAGATGAATAGCTCAGTAAACAAAGTGGGAAAATCTGATCCATTTGTCCATTAAATGATGTGTGTGATTTATATTATGAATGTTTTTGGTACTGTCATAACTTTGAACAAACTTCTGTCTGCGCTTTTACTTGATCTAATCAATAGATTTTTTTAACAAAAACAGGAACCATTGGATCAGAGCTACTTTTCTAGCTATTTATTGCAGCCAGAAGTGAGGCGATCTATTCATGTAGGAAATCTGACCTTTCACGATGGATCAGAAGTGGAGAACATCTGTTGAAGGATATTATGCAGTCGGTAAAGCCGTGGTTGGCTATATTAATGGACAAATACAGGGTGAGTTACTGTTTTACGGAAGGGTTCAGATTCTATTTTGAAAAAAAATGACATATAGGCAGGTTTGTAGAATCTGTTCATAAGTTTAGTTCCTATTTTAGAATAAATCATAAACAAAATGGGCTGCTGGAGATTAAATTATGCACATGTGTGTGATAAAATCTACAAAACCACTTGTAATCTTGGGTTATGTTTGAATCTTCAAAAAAAATACCCTTGGAAATTATTCAGAGGCACATTTAACCATTTAGTACATAAAAAGCAGTAGCATGAAATGGGATTGTCTATTAAGTTACGTGAAACCAAACAATATACAGATGTATGATTGTAAATCCTCATTTAAACATTTACTGACATTTAGATTTTAAGATGAGTGAAGGTTGTAAAAGATAGAATTCTGCAGCAAGTTAAACTTTTTTTAGTATTTGTTTTTTCTGATAATGAATTTCAAAGGTTAATGTAGGCACAATAATGTTCGTCATTCACAGATTTACACTATACTTCAGTTTATCAGTTATTCCCAGGGCTCAGCCTATTTTGGACAAGGTACACAGTTCTATCTCTGATATTTGGAGCACGTGAAAAACTAACATTCAGGTTCAAAATCCATGATTCTGATCTCTGGTTAAAACTCTTCTCAGTCTCTGACACATCACTTGATATGTTGCTGCTGTTGATTCTTCACACCGAAGAGACTAATATATTTCTGCAAGAATTAGAATTTATTATTTGAAAAATGGTATAACTTGGATTGCCAACATGCTGCACCATCCTGACTATTTTGGCTTGAAATTAGCTCTTGCAATCTTTACATATCAATGGGTTTCCTAGAATGAATGTCTTCTTAAATATGGGAAGAATGGAGAGACAATACCCCTAAGAGAGATTTTGACATAATTAGAATATTTTCCATCCTAATCCCAACCATGCAATGTACCCTGCAGAATTGGTTCCTCTCTCTCGCTCTCTCTCTGAGCTCTCTCTCCCCCACCCTCCCACCTATCGCAGAAGTATAGACAGGAAGGGGAAAGAGAGGAATACAAGCTGTGCCATGAGCTTTATTAAAAAATAAGTCAAAACCAAGTATGCAGACTGGGCAAGCATTCTGAAATCTTCCTGTAGCCATACCGCTTAATGTGGTCCATAAAGTCCTAACTCTTCTCGTTTGATAGTACACTTAAAGCAAAACTTTTAATCTACGCCCTTGCCTTTGAGTTTAAATACACGATGTAGAGAATGAAAAAGGTAACATTGTCTACCTGAAAGTTCATTGTTCTTTGTACTTAAGGTATTGTTAACATACCATCTTGTCTGCTGATTTTACTTGGAGGTTGTCTCATTACAACATTTCCTGCTGGTTGTTGTCCTCAGATCCAACAAACCTGCCTGTCAGGCTCTCTTATATTTATTTTGAGGAAGGAATCAAGAGTACAACTTCTCCATTGTTGAACATACTAAGGGAGCCTTTTAACTGATCCTTTGGCTGGGATCATGCCAGCAGTGTGCAGAGTTTGTGCAGATTCAAAGCCTGAAAATCCTACCAGGTTAATAGTCTTATATCAAGAGAACAATTTCTTGAATGCCAAACTTATTTCTTCTATTTCCAGCTCACTTCCCTGTAGTGCAGTCAGCTCCCATTCTTATTCATACAGTGACTTTATGAAAGGATTTTGAAAATCTCCTATACCTTCCTTTGGGATGTCTGCTTGCAAACTGGGTTGATTGGTATTTCTCTTCTATTGAAGCCCTGTGAATTAATCTTTTTAAATGGAAGGCTTCTACTTTAATGGCTTTTCTATTAGCATGAAATGGTGGTGAATTATAGGTTTTGATTCCTGATTTAACTTGTCTTGTGACCATACTGCCCTCTAATGACCTCCAATATTTCTTTGTAAAATGATTGAAAATTGCAATTATTGTAAGATGCTACTAGTAATTAGTATTTTTGAAAACGAGAGAAAACACTTTTTAAGACTCCCCTTTTGAGGACTCCCATATTGTGTGGACAAAAAACAACAAGAAGATGAAACCTTTTGTTTTGTATCATTTCACCATGGAAAAATCTGTATACAACCAAATTTTAACTGGGAGGTTTTCCATTGTTCTGGCTCAGTTGGTAGCACTCTCACATCCGAATGAGAAGGTTGTGGATTCAAACCCCATGTCAGGACTTGTAACTCTTATAGTCTAAGCTGACACTGCAATGCGGTGATGGAGGTGCCATCCTTCGGATGACGCTTTAAACCAAAGCCCGATCTACTTTTTTAGTTGGATGTTAAAGATCCCATGATACTATTCGAAAAGAGAAGGGCGCTTTTCCTAGGATCCTGATCAAAAATCCCCCAAATAAAGAAAAAAAAGTTATTAATTTCATCACTGTTTGTGGGATATTGTTGAGTGCAAATTGGCTACCATGTTCATCCACAGAATACACAGTCACTCCACTGCACAGTATATCAAGTGAAGCACTTGAAGATGTCATCCTGGTGTGAAAAGAGCCATTCAAAATGTAAGGATTATTTCTATCATAAAACTAGTACTTGTGGGAAAAGCTAAAGATGTTCTATTGAGTGAACACCACTGGGATGTCTGCTTGCAAACTGGGCTGATTGGTATTTGCATTTCTGCTAGCTGAAGTGATCTTTATGCTAAACAGTGGTTGAATTTGCAACCTAAAACTTTATTTCTTATTGCAGATGTGGAGCTCCATCCACATCTGTCATTATCAAGGATAAAAGCTAACTTCTTTCTCATTCTTTATTATAATATGACCTTCCTCCATGCTGCACCTGTGCTTATCATTTTTGTTGAGAATCTGTATTTCTACTGTTGCCTAGTTATTGCCGATGTTGATTGATTCTTTACTTCCAGTATAAGATTCTAGGAGTTCAGACAACCATACCAATTTCTGGGGTAAAATATTTTTTTAAGATTAAGTCAAGGGAATAGCGTGTGTGTGTGTGTATATATATATATATATATATATATGTCACCCATGCAATTATTTTTAAAGTAGGATTGTGTCCCTGCATTTTTTCCTTAGGAATAAAGTTAGGCGTGAGCTAACTGCATCAAAGATAACTCTCTTGGGGGGGAGGAGATTAAGAAAACCTGCCCTAAATCAAGCTGTTTTCATTTTGATTTCCCAGGAAAACTATTTTCTAATTCCACAAGTGAATGTTTTGCTTGTCAGTTAAGAATGTGAATGCAACTGATCAAGAGTGTTGTTGAGGCTTCCATTTTCATCTGATTTACTTGATAAAACTTTTAATGAGATAAATGTGCTGTGGAGCTACATTTCTTCATGAATCTATTAACAATAAGCTTTGCCAAATTTCAGCTACAATTGTAAATCCCAGCTGGGGAAAGGATACGACGGATGGTTTTTCAAACTTGTATATTGTGTAAAAACCCAACCAAATCAATTATAAACAAATACTAAGTTCAAGTTTTGGATTTCCTTCTGTGGTAGAGAGAGAGAGGAACAAATTGACTGGACCTTTATGAACTCTTAAAGTCTTTATTTAAAAGTAGCTTCCATATTTCGCATCAATTGCAAAGCGGGAAAGTGATTTTCTGCGTTTTTTCTAATCCAGTCAGGATTTTTGGATAATATATTGTGATCCAATTGACTAACATTTAGTTGAAATTTAAGTATTAAAATATTGCCTAAAATAAATTTTGAGTAATGCCACATATACTTACTATCCCTGCCAAGGATAATAACTACAAATTATATTTATATAGTAGCGCCTTTCACGTCAGGAGATCGTTCCAAGGCAATAGACAATTAAGGGTTTGCACACGAGCTAGAGGTTGGATTCAAGAGGGATGAGGAGCATGGGGATGGGAAGATGACCGATGGCACGTCAAAGAGGAAGGTCTTGATAGGTCTTGAAAGGAGGTGAGGGAAGGGGTGAGGCGAAGAGACTCCGGGGTGGAGTCCCAGAGGATGGGCTAGAAAGGCTGAAGGCTAGACCACTGATGGTGGAGCGGGCAGGGGATGTGAAGCAACCCCAGTGCCTGCCGAGCGTAGCGAGTGGGTGGGTTGGTAAGGTTTCAGCAGATCAAAGGTCAGGATGGGAAACACTGTGGAGGGCTTCAAACGTGAGGACAAGGATCTTGAATTTGATCCTCTGGGAGATGGGGAGCCAGTGAAGCCGGGCGAGGATAGGAGTGATAGGCTTACTGTGCTTGGTGGGAGAGAGGATATGAGTTGCAGAATTCCGAATAATCTGCAGCGTGTGAAGAGAAGAGTTGAGAAGTCTGTCGAGCAGAGAGTTAGCATAGTCGAGCCTGGATGTAACAAAAGCATAGATAAGGGTCTCAGCTGCCCGGGGGGAGAGGAAGTGGTGGCCGAGACCCTTGGGGAAGGCTGAACAGGTCAATGCATGGATGGTTTTGATCATGACACATTTCATTGTACAAAGTTTGCCAGGAGATGAGTTTACTATCCCACTTCCTCACCTGTGCAATAGTGAGACATTTTGCAGGAATAATGTAAAATAAATATCTTGGATGCAGAAACAATTTGCGAAAACAAACAAAAATCATCTGATGGACAGAGCAAACTCCATTAGTATCAGACATCTCCAGAGACTGTATACCCAACACCAATCAGGATTTCATCTCATTGCTGTTCACATTTGTCCACGATCTCAAAGGCAACTTGCGTACGTCTCCTACCATTTGCCTTCAAAACGACCAGATTTAATATTGAAGAAATGGAGCGATTAGCTGCATTAAAAATAATAATGATAATTTGGTCACTCAATCCATGGCTGTTTGTGCAAAACTACTGTGCGCAATTGGCTGCTGCGTTTCGCCCACAAAATATACAGTCACTGCACTTTGCATTATATTCTGTGAAGCGCTTTGAGTCATCTCAAAGGCGTGATAAGGTGCAATATCAAAAGTAAGGATTATTATTATTGTGTTTGTTTTTGAGCACATCAGCCACACAGGCTTCGGACATCAGCCACAAAATATGCAAGCTGCAGACATCAGTCACACAGTCGAACAGCTGAACAGCAGTTTAAGCTGTTCCTGGAAATGCAAACCCATCTGACAACTATACCTTGCAAATGTTATAGTCCCTTGTTGACTAATCATTCACGAGAGGCTGTTGAGCATATGCAAAAATAATCTGCAATGAAAATAATGTTCAACAATTGCAAACTTTGAAACATTTGAACGTAATTTAAATTCTTGGAAAGATACGACTCAGACAGCAAATGAGAAGTAAAGTTTTTTTTACTCTTTCTTGGGTGAACGTTTATTGTCTATTCCAAGTTGTCCTAAGAAGGTAGAGATGAACTTCTCTGTAATTTGGTGCTTTCTTTGTTGCAAAGTTGCTCCCAAGATGTTGTTTGGCCAAGAGCAGGTGCTCCGAGACATTAGTCTGTATGAAGTGGATGAATCAAGGCAAGTTGTTGTCAACCTCCTTGAGTTTAACGCAATACAATTAACATTTATATAGTGCCTTTCATGTTGGGAGGATATCTCAAAGTGCTTTACAATGTTGGATTCGCACCCAGGAAGAGTCGGTGAGAGGGAAATTTGTAATACCTGTATAATAATAATCCTTGCATTTGATATAGCGCTTTTCACGTCGGGAGGACGTCCCAAAGTGCTTCACAGAACACACTGTAAAGTGAATTGACTGTATATCTGTGGGCGAACGCGGCAGCCAATTGCGCACAGCAATGTCCCACAAACAGTCGTAGATTGAAAATGACCAATTTATTATTGTTTTGGGTTTTGGAGGGATTATTATTAGGTGTGTGGAGTAAGGAAACTTGCCCAAGGTTTTGCTCTGTCTGGAATTGAACTCAGGTCTCTCACTTGCAAAGCGAGTGCTTTAACCACTGAGCTACAGGACTCCACGATGAGGTTCATTTTGCTCAAAATACCTGATCGAAATGTCAACCCAGATACATTCCTCTCCATTTCCATGATTACCCCCAAGATTCAAAAGAACCAATAAAATAATTTAGTTTGTTGCTGTATATAGTCCAATTTTACAGACATCATTCTTGCAATGAACAATATACAGCCCTTTGTTCTTTGTGTTCAGGGGCAGTTTGATTATTTCCATATTGTAGCAGGAACAGCTGTATGGCCTCTGCCTACAACATTTAATAATTGTTCTGTCCATCAGATGGTTTTTGTTTGTTTTCACAAACTGTTGCTGCATCCAAAATGTTTATTTTACATTATTCATGCAAAACATCTCAATATTGCACATGCAAGGAAGTGAGTCAGTAAATGCATGTCCGGGCAAACATTGTACAATAAAATGTGTCATGGTCAAAACTAGAAAGAGCATAATGATTTTTTTAAAAATTCAGGGAAAGGATGGATGCATTTCACAGAACTGTCTTGCAGAAATGAACTGACTACCTTATTGTCTTATTCTTTTAAACATTTGTTCTGTTAGTGTGGATATTGGCTGCAGAGATTTTTTTTAAACTTAAAACATTTGTATTTCTATTAAGTATCAAATTCATACTTCCTTTTCTGGTTTTTTTTCTGTTAGGTATTATTGTACAGTGGACAACTTGATGTTATTGTAGCGGCCCCTTTAACCGAACGCTTTCTGCTCACTGTGCCATGGTCCAAGGCTGAAGAGTTCAAAAATGTGGATAGATTCTATTGGTCCGTCAATCCCGGTGACACTGAAGTGGCTGGTTACATCCGAAACGTTGGGGACTTTTATCAGGTATGGTAATCGCAGGGAGCTGCTACAGTGAAGAATAAATTAATTTGGGATCAATGCATCTGATGCTGAGCAAACTGTTTTTTACACTGTAACTTGTCAGTTGACACCCTATTGGGTTACTTTCCTCATAAGTAGAAATATTTATCCATTGTAATTGCTTGTTGCAAGGAAGAAGCCCATTGGCGTTGTTACTACAACTGTTTCTTCATGGCTTAGTTGGTGAACATGCTGTGAAGGTAGTCAGCCACTCAGACCAGGACAATCTCATATTTGACCCCTATTGTCTACTGAGTCGCCAAACTTGCGACAATAACTTGTGTTTACATAGCATCCTTCCTGTAGAATAACTTGTAGAATAGAGTGCTGTACAGTGGCTGGGTTGGGCACTGAGGGAGGGGGAGGTGACCATAGACGCAACGAAAGTAGTCAGTTTCAGGTGGGATTTAAAGATAAAGAAAGGGTGATGCAGGGGATTGAGGCAAGGAGTTCCAGAGATTAGGGGTGTAGTGGCTGAAGGCACAGCCATCGATGGTGGTGCAGAAAGGTCGGAGAATGCACAGCAGGTCTGGGTTAGCTGAGTGAAGCAGACAGGCAAAAATACTTTGTATTTGGTATAATGCCTTTCACATTGTGAGGACATCCAGGCAGGGCGAAACCTTGGGCAAGTTTCCTTACTCCACACGCCTAATAATAATCCCTCCAAAACCAAAAACAATAATAAATTGGTCATTTTCAATCTATGACTGTTTGTGGGACATTGCTGTGCGCAATTGGCTGCCGCGTTCGCCCACAAATATACAGTCAATTCACTTTACAGAGTGTGTTCTGTGAACCGCTTTGGGACGTCCTCCCGACGTGAAAAGCGCTATATCAAATGCAAGGATTATTATTATTATTATCCCAAAGTGCTTCACATGATTGTTTTCAAAGTGACTATGTGTTTTTGTGCGTGAATGTGGCAGCCAATTGGCACACAGCAATGTCCCACAAACAGCCATGGAGTGAGTGACCAATTTCATTTTGGGAATTATTGGCAGGACAATGGGAGAAACTCCTTTATATTTTTTGAATAGTGCCATGGATCTTTAACGATCACATGAACAGACAGATAGGACCTCAGTACCCCTGTAGCACTGCATTGGAGTGTCAGCTTGGGCCATGTGAGTTCCAAGTCCCAATGTGGGGCCTAAACCTGAAACGTTCTGACTTGGAGGCAAGTGTGTAACCACCTGAGCCCACCTAACACCAAGGGCTTATGTCCTCATTGTAAGGTTTCACAAGAGGGTTTGCCCACAAAATACACAGTCACTAACTGTATAGTATATTCTCTGAAGCTCATTGAGACGTCTCGAAAACATGAAAAGGCGCTATATCAAATGCAAGGATTATTATTATTCTGCCTTTGCTACATTTAAATCAATACACCAGAATATTAGATGATCTTAAGCATTTTGTGCAGTATCACAGTAACCTATGGTTCATTTTAAAAAAGGAAATAGAACTTGACTCAGGAAAATGGTAGTGACTGCTTTGTTTAAAATTAACTTTTTATGAGGGTTTTCAAAAAATTATTCAGAACACTAAATTTGTCTTTACTAAATACCTTCATAAACTAGAGAATAAAAGTCATTTTGCAGTTTGCTCCTTTCAATGCCTTGGGATGACCTCCCAATGTGAAAGGCGCAATATAAATGCAATTTTTTCATTTCCTAGTCCCTGTTTGGCCTATCCCCTTACTCCTCTGGAACTTCTCCTCCTTTGAGCACCTTACCCTTTATCACCCCTCCAACCTTTCCCTCAAAATTCTCCTTATCTACCTCTCCCTCTCCCTCTGATCTAAACGCCTCCTCATCCTTGGCGACTTCAACCTTCACTTCACCCCCTCCTGCTCTACCTCTACTACTCTTCCTCCCTTATCTCCTCCCTCAACTTCTCCCTCCACATCCACTCCGCCACCCATGTCCATGGTTAACCCCTTGACCTGGTAATCACTGGGGGCCTCACTGTCTTGGACCTCACCACCATCATCGACAAAGCGATCTTGGACCATCACTTCATCTCCCTTAACTCCTCAATCCCTCTCCCCACTGCCACCCAACCCACTCCATCTCGTACTGCTGTGGAAAAAAATCTCCCCCCCCGGCTGCCTTGGAGTCATCTGAACTCCTTCCCCTCTGGGCTTCCTCCCGCACTGACCTATCCTCCTCAGTCACTCTTCTCCACAGCTCCCTCTCCTCCACTCTCGATTCCCTTACTCCTCTCTCTTCTCAAACCGTCTACTATTCACGCAAATCGCCCTGGTACACCAGTCACTTCCGCTCCCTTAAAGCCGAGGAGCATTCCGCCGAGCGCACCTGGCTTAAATCAAACCTAACTGTCCATCGGCAGATCTGGCTGTACTATGTCAAATCCTACCGCTCTGCCCTCGCCTCCGCAAAATCGTCGTTCTACTCCATGACAATCTTGGAGGCTAAGAACAACCCCAGGCTCCTCTTCTCGATTACGAACTGGCTCCTCCGCCCACCCTCTCACACCTCACCCATCCTCACCTCAAATGCCAACAGCAAGGCGATGCTGGACTTCCTCGAATCCAAAGTCGAGGGAATCCACTCAGCTGCCACTGCATCTGCTAGACCATCCCCATCTCCCCCTTCCACCCAGGCCCCTACCCACCACTCCCTCTACACTTTTGAACCTGTCTCCCCCTCCTCTCTCATCGCCATAACCTGTATGAAACCTACCACCTGCTCCCTCAATCCCATCCCTACCCCTCTCCTTACCTCCCAGCTCTACCTCATTGCCCCTCTACTCACTGACATTGTAAACCTCTCCCTGTCCTCTGGTACTGTTCCCACCCCGTTAAAACCCACTGTCATCACTCATATCCTTAAAAAAAACCTCCCTGGACCTTTCTCTACTCCCTAACTATGGCCCCATCTCCAACCTCCCCTTCCTCTCCAAGGTGCTGGAATGAGTTGTTACTTCTCAGCTTAGCTCCTTCTTCTCCTGCCACTCCCTTCTCGAACCCCTCTAATTGGGGTTCCATCCCACCCACAGAAACACCCCTGGTCAAAGTGACAAATGACATTCTGTCCATCTGTGACCTGGGCTCCCTCTGCCTCCTCGTCCTCCTTGACCTCTCTGCTGCTTTCGACACCGTCGACCATTCTATCTTCATCCACCGCCTCTCCTCTCACCTCAACAGCACTGTCCTTGACTGGTTCAGATTGTATCTCTCACACTGCCTGCATTTCATCTCCTCAAAAAGCTTCTCCTCTAGCCCCCGGATCATCCCGTGCGGCATTCCTCAGGTCTTTGAACATGGTCCCTTCCTCTTCAATATCTGTATGCTCCCTCTTGGTGACATCATCCGCATGTGGTCAACTTCCACATGTATGTAGATGATACCCAACTCTACCTCTCAGCTTCCACCCTCGACTCCAGGATCACTGCTGTCCTGACAGAATGTCTGTCACACATCAAGTCCTGGATAAGAGCTAACTTTCTTCAGTTGAACATCAACAAGACCGAGGCTCTCCTGATTGGCTCCAGTCAGCGCCTCCTCATCTCAGGCACTGACAGCATCACCATCCATGGTTGACACTCCACCTTACTAAGCCAGTCCGGAACCTTGGGGTCTTGTTTGACCCATGTCCTCTCCCATACTAGGCTCCGTGACCCTATCACCCCCATCCTTGCCCAACTCCACTGGCTTCCCATCACACAGAGGATACAGTTCAAGATCCTGGTCTTCACCTTCAAAGCCCTCCGTGGTTTTGTTCCCCCCTACATCTCCGACCTCCTAACCCCCTCCCATCCTGTTTGCTTCCTCCGCTCAGCGGACTCTGGCCTACTTCACATCCCCCGCCTTGCTTGCTCCACTATTCGCAGGCGGGCCTTCCGCCACTCTGCCCCCACCTCTGGAACTCCATCCTGCAGTCCCTCCATCTCGCACTCCCCCCAATCCCCCCCCCCCCACTGCCTCCTTCAAGACTCATCTCAAGACCCTCCTTTTCCTCCATGCTTTCGATGTCCCTGCTTCCCCCCCTCCCACACCCGACCCCTAGGTCGGGTTCGTATCTCTGTCTGTCCAATGCTTTCGGACGTCCCCCCGACGTGAAAGGCACTATACAAATTTAATTTTGTTGTTGTTTTGTCTCTTGAGAAGAGGTAAGCTGTGTCCTTTTGGTAGCTGAGCTTGGCGACCAAAATTGAGTCAATCTTCTGTGTCAGTTCCATTTCCTGAACCAGACAGGTCTTCAGTCCTCCAGGGGATTGCTGATGTCAGACCAGCCAGCTTGGCTCTTCAGTAGGAATGTTGAGAGGGATGGTGGCAGACCAGTTACTGGGAGCAGGGATTCACTTCTTCTCACTCAGCTCCTGTTATCCCCTCAAGTCAAAGCCTTTACCGGGTAGAATTATCCTTGAAAGCTCTCAATGGAAAGCTGTGAGACAAGCTGTGAAGTCCATCAGTACCCCATTGCACATGCTGGGATCCCCAAGCTGCTTGCGGACCTGCACCTACTTCTGTTCATAATTGGGTAAGAAGGGCGCATCCCTCCAAGGACAGAGTGTGTATTCCATTCCAGACACAGGGAATGTGTAAGTGTCATACAGAGATGGAACTCTCAGCAGGACGATGGGTTTCCACATGTGTCAGACACCAGACTGACTAAAAAAATCACTGTGGTTTGCTGTTCATTTAACATAATTCACTCCTATTGCCTCTGCCATAGGAAGCAATAGGAGTGGATTATGTTAAATGAACAGCTAATTTATTCAACAGCATCTCATTGAGTTTTTGGGTGCCTTATTTTACATCAGTTAAGAAAAAGGTTTTTTAAAAGCTAAAACAGATGCACCATGTCTGTCTCTCTCAGTGCCATTAACACGTCATTGATGAATACATCGAATAAGATAGGTGACAATAGGAAGCCTTGTCTTATCCCCACTTTCAAGAGAGATGGGCTCAGTGAGTCCACTGGCAACCCTTACATGAA